CAGGGCTGCATAATATAGCGGACCGCGGGACCATTGGTCCCAGAAAATTTTTGAGGTTGGGAGAGGGTTCTAATGGTCCGTCCCTAAAGAGAAAGAAAGGAAAAACAGAAAGGAAGAAAATGAGAAAAAATGACATAATTGAATAATAAGTGTATAGGTAGTGAACTGGTGATGTTTGCAACATGCAAGTAATACAAGTTTCCAATATACCGGTACAGGCGGCACTCCAGCAACCTGATATTATGGTCCAAGACAGGCAGACAGCAGTCTAGCAGATATTAAGACGAAATCCTCTATGCGGTTGTTATAATTGATTTCATCTAGTGTATTAGCTACTTCTGAAAATACCACTCCAGTTATATATGAATACAACTCATTTAACAACTACAGTATGTGGATTAAAAAGTCTACGAGTGTGGTGATTTCTTACAATGTAGTAAAAAATCTAAGCAATATGTTCCAATACACAACAGCCTTCTGCCCTTCTCATGAATGTTCATCCATTAATTAAGATGATATTCATAACAAATATATTAACATTATAAGAATCTAGAATCTTAAACTGCAGATAGTTCCCAGTGGTCACTTTCGTCATTCATTAAAATGTAAATGTTGTTAAATTAAAATATAAAGAATATTTATTCCACGTTGAAATACGTCTATTTTGATTTCAAATCTAATGAAATGGTGTGTAGAATACGCTGAATCTTGTTTAGTGATGATCAAATTTAAATAAAAAACATAAGATTCCCAGTGTTTGCGTGCAGAAAATATTTTCGTTGGCTTTGTGGTCCCAGAAAATAAAATATTTTATGCAGCCCTGATTATTATAACGAATATTTACACAGGATATATACACTTCAGCACAAAAGTGCTGTTATCAATGTAAGTCCTGTTACGCCTTAAGAATTAATTAAAAACTACCAGCTATAATTATAGACTAAAAAGGTCCGATCATAGGTAAGTCCATGAGTCCATAAAATCCTGTCTGTGCGAACGAGTAAAAATTAACATATAATTATACTTTTGATTAAATTATGTGATTCTGACTAAGATTGTGATTGTTTCTCGGAGTGGGAACTTGTACCTGCGGGTGTTGGTCAATGACGTTAAGTTGCAAAATGAATGTGGAAATTCGTGGACGATACCACTGTCAGTGAAGTAATTGGGAAGAATCAAACAAGTAACTTGCAAAACCAAATGGACATTTTAGCGAACAGCATTTCATCTCATAAGTTCCAGTTAAACGAAACAAAGTGTAAAGAAATGAGAATTTGTTTTGGATCTAATGTTAACGACTTTCAACCAATTACCATTAATAACATTACACTGGATATTGTCCAGAATGCGAAAGTTTTGGGATTGCATATAGCTAACAACCTTAAGTGGAATATCCAAGTGATCAAGAAATGTCGTAAACGCCTTTACCATCTTACCCAACTAAAACGAGCAAATATTGGACTTAAGGAATTACTTCAATTTTACAAATCGTGTATAAGACCTGTTTTGGAGTATGCCTGCCCGGTCTTCCACAATAGCCTTACATTGTATTTATCAAACGACCTATAGAATCAGTCCATGCAAAAGCGAGCACTAAAAATAATTCTGCCCCATCATAACTATGAAAACGCTCTGAAATCTACTAACTTGCAACGTCTTAGTGAAAGGAGGAATGATCTAACAACGAAGTCGTTCCAGAAAATAGTTGCAGATTCATCTCACAGGCTCCATGGCCATCTGCCTCCCCGTTTAGAACATTTAAACATGGAACTTAGGACACAACATTTATTTAATATTAAATTCAATATTTTAAATCATACCCTTGTAATCTTAAACGTATTTCAGCTATTTCGGCTGCTAGTTTTAAGAAATAAATCATCTATCTATATATATATACAAACGAAAAGTACTGTAAGTTCAAGAGAAATGATGAAGCCTAGCCTGCTGTGCAGGTTAGATGAAACCCAACTACACACACCGACTGACAGTTTAATAATTATATTGAAATATACATACTGCATGTGTTATAATATATGAAATTACAGTGTTGACTATTGTATATAAATACAGTGCATGGTAGTATATAAATACAGGTAGTGTTGGTTAGAACATGCATAGTCACATCAGGGCCTGGTCACATGCAGACAAGCGTGTCGTACAAGCGTATCTCAAATAGGCGTATCGACATAAAAATGGGAGGGGCACTACTTCGCACGACTAAGACGGAAATTGCCCGACTTTAAGAACCTAACAATTGACACGTTAGAGATAGGGACGGACCATTATTTTTTTTGAGGGGGGATGGACATTTCGTCAACACAAACAATTTTTTTGGTGTTGTCGTTGCAAATAATTTTTTTGTACCTGCTTCCTTCTGCAAACAATTTTTTTTGTCCATCTGATTGCTATGGATTTCATTATAAATTGATATATATAGTTTAATTTGTGCCCGATTACACTATTGCATGTGTGATCGAACAACATGTGTTGTCATGTCGAACAGACAATTAATAGTTTTTTTGGTATACTGGTCAGGGCCTTTTTTAAGGATTTTCCCGTGGGGGGGGGGGGGGATTTTTTGAAAAGGGACCTTTCTGTGAGATAATATATTAGAGGGGGATAGGAATGGCTGAAGGCCACAGAGTCTGGGGGCATATTCCCCCAGAAATTTTTTTAAATTTAAAGCCCGGAAATGCCATTTCCTGCATTCTGAGCATTTAAATTTGCAGTAAAATTTATGCTAAGTATAGTTGTATTTGAAATAAAAGGAAAAAACGCACAAAAAATAAAAAGATTATTAACAATAATTTATCATTACTTAGTGGTAGAAAAACGTAACAATTTAAATCGATTTTGTTAAACAAGGACAAAGAATAAAGCCTAAAACTTACTTTTTGTTTACCAATTTGTTTGTATAAATTTAGGAAAAAGGGACTTTTCCTTGGGGGGGGGGGCATAACCGCATAAAGGACATTCCCCCCCCCCGGACTTGTATGTTAAAAAAGGCCCTGATACGTATACTGGTTCTACGCTACACAATGTCTTACACCAGTACTTGTCAAATTACCTATTTTATATTCAATAGATTAATATTTATAACCCATATGTAGATTGCGACATGTGCCCAGCGTCTCCCATCCCAGAGCTTTTGGGGTGAAAACCCTGGGTATGTCGGTGAGCACTCTGTTCATTGTTATTAAACCTTGGTTGATGTTGCATAATCTCATTAGACATTAACTATTTTTTTCCTCTTCTCTATGTGTGCAAACAATTTATTTGCACTTTTTTGTCTTTGCAAATAATTTTTTTAAGAATTTTCCATCCCCCCCCCCCTCCAAAAAAATAATAGTCCGTCCCTTAGGGCCGTTAGGCCAATGCTTCATTGTGCATTTCAAAGTCGAAGACTATAGGCATGCTTATTTGTGCCTTGGGGAGTGCTTTCATCCAGGAGTGACCTTTCAACTAATTCAAGTCACTGCGTGTAGTGGCACGTGTAGACGTGCAAGGCGGGGGAAGGGAGGGCTGGATATAATTTGGCACAAATGGTAAAACAATTCTCGCAATTCTTACGCAATAGTTGGATAATTTTGTTAATGTCAAATGGATAATATAGAGAATGGCTATATCCACGAAATTAATTCTTAGGGTTTTAGTATACCGGGATTTAAAGTAAGAAAAAGAGCGAGCCTTCGTAAAGAGCAGACGTTGAATCCCGGTATAACGTCCCCTGTCTCGTATTCTTAGTTGCCAAACTTCTATAGTACTTTGAAATTATGTAAATTATTTCAAAGTATCCTGTAAGACGTCTTTCTCTGTAGTTTCAAAACACTAATTTATATCAATTTCTTTTGTTTTTGGTCATGAATAATGTGTTTGAGAAATCAGTAGTACATACACAGCGTTATGTTGGTTCCAGAAGTTTATTCGTCTCGATACTGAACTACGTAAAAAAGGTCTGATTCAAACGTATATCTATGACAGTAAATAAATCTCAAACTCATATAGAAGGTCTGCTCTGGAACTGAGTAGCTTTAACTCGCAGAGTTTCTCTTAACTTGCCCTGATTGGCCTAACAGAGATCACCCGCTAACCTCTGTATATGGTTTGTATTGTGAACCAATATATAAAATTATTTGTGAAACACTACGATTACTTAACATGCAAGTAGATTAAGAAATATATATAATATCAAAATAAACATATGCACTGAACTTTTAATTAAAATTTTTCAACAATACCGAACAAGTGCATGTCATGTACTTTTTCTTGGACGAATATGTGCTTAAAAATATCCCTTCTTTCGGGCGTGAGGTGTCGTGTCAGTTTCGGAATTGAACGGTAATAAACGGTATAGAATTTGACAATGAAACGCAATTTTTCGCTTTTTTAAAAGTTCAAGCTCATGCCTATCAGGTCAAAACGAAAATGAAATTCTTCAAATACGTTCTTGGTTTTACATTTTCAACATATCGTTTTTCCAATGTTAGACGTTTTACTTTTCAAGGCCCGTTCAAACCAATGACGTTGGACAAGGCCCGTTCAAACCAATGGCAATGTGACGTTGAATAAAGTCAGACTAGTTGAATAAACATCAGCCAACATCGCGAAACATAACATTTGAACTGAAACCCAACATGTTGTATCCATTAATGTTGGATGATGCTGAGCCACAATGTCAAACTACGTTGGATGAAACTTTTAAATAAAGTCAAACTCCAACATTGCCAACCATGTCTGAACAAACCCAACATGTTGTTATTATTATTATCATTCGGCGAACCACGGGTATTCAGACCTGCCAAGTTCGGAAGATAAGAATGCGTGACCAGGGCCGTTGCGAGGACTTTACCTTGGGGGGGGGGGCGGGAGGGAGAGGCTAGATTTACCGCCTGAATTGTTTCAATTCACCTGATTTGGCGACGCCCGCGAGGCGCTATCATGGTTGGTGCCGAGCAAAAAATTTTGAAAATTTGAATTCTTTAGACCGTCGAAAATAGCATTTTGAGAGTCTTTCCTACCCAAGATTTCAATGTTTTACTACTGCCTAACAATGAAGATAAGTAAAATAACTACTGATCAATATGACAGTGTTACTTACAGTTTAATGTGACTAGGAAAATGGAGAAAATTTTGGAAATTTGGAATCTCCAGATCGTCAGAAAGCGTATTTGGCCATGTACCCCCAGGCCAACGATGCGTCTGAACGTCCTTATTTGGTTGGTCTATTGTTAACTCTAATTCTACGTTTGCACACATCGTTGTCAATGAGTTATTGTACGAAAAGTGGGATAGCGTCATATAATGGTAAAAATGCGTAACTTTAAGATCATTTTAGTTATGCGTGCGGGACAGCGGGAACAAAAGCAGCCAATGCGTAACTTTCACGTCATGTATCGGTTTGAAGAACATCACCTGTGAAATCTTGAGCTAAATCTTGTCTATTAATTTCACACAGAGCTTTGTTAAGTTCCTCGCGCCAGGACTGCGCGGCTTGATGACGAGATGTCCACCAATGCTTGAGCATCATATATGTTTGCCATACCACATTATCCCGGTGATTCAAGTGAATCTCCTTTATTTTGCTGTCGCTAATACCAAGAAATATTGCCAGTTCTTTCCAGCCTCCAGGGATATTTTGAGCCAATTTCAGCAAATGATTATTCATATACGTATCTATAAAAATATCAAGACCTGTTAAAATATATCAGAAAGAAGGCGCTTACCTGGAATAAATTCCTAAGAACCTCCCTTATAAGGACACTGAAGGTACCGAGCAATATACATATCAGTGGTGTTCGTTTACTAAGGTCATCACCGTGTTTTGAACCGAAAATATCCATACAAGCAGCCAGAAGTTGCAGACAGAAAAAATATCACAACACAAAACCAAGCGAACCGTAAAAAAATTTTTGCATGGCAGAAACCCCTCATCTGCCACCTACCACTTCACTTTTCTGGGTTTTTTTTTAAAGCAACTCTGTCCTGATGAACCACCTTCAAGTTCTTCACAACAAAGTCGCTAAAATCATTCTTGACGTTCATCCACTCTCGTAGCCTCAGAATCCCTACGATCGTTAAATTGGCAGCCGTCAACAACACGTAGACACTTTCACCGTTGTCTAATCATGCACAAGTGTTAAAACAATGACATCGATTTTAATTTCAAGTTCTCCTCTGACATCCACAGCTACAATACTCGAAACAAACAGAACATACATTTGGAACGCGTCAAGAAGAACTGGGGGAAGCAGGCATTCAGCTACCATGCTACCAACGACTGGAATAGTCTGCCTGTGGAAATCCGGAATATAGAGAAATACCGGGTATAGAGAGAAATATTCACATAATACAAGCGCTTCGGTTTTACGAAACGCTACTAATATTTAAAGCCAAGTACAACAATTTTCAAGAACGTACATGCAAAGACAAAAACATGTTTACCATTTGCACTAGACGTAGATGATGCACTATCCACTAGCACTTCACATGCGTCAGATTCGTCGACATAGCGCTGGGATGTCTCAGCTATAACAAAAGATAAAATGACCAAATTGTAAAAGAAAGTCCAAGTTCCACTGAACAAATTTGAAATTTCTATTTGTCATGTGGAGGTTGGAACCAGTACAAGCTCCTCAAAACTTAAACCGGAAACACAACAAGAACTAAATTTACATAATGAGCCATAACGAACCATTTGCTATCGTTTTAAAGCCAAAAATTTTCTGACCGTGCAAAATTTTCGTGATTGGATACGTCTTTTATAAAGCTGCCACTGCTACAATTTTTTCATTTCGATTTTACCTCATGTTTGCAAAATTATCATTATAAAAATTGAAATAGCTACTTAATATATGCACTGTTGTGATTTTTACCTCGTTTGCGTCTACGCAGAATACAGTGCTTGAGGACCATTGCTACGTTTTGTCTTTGAATTTTGCAAATTCTTTCTTGGATATGAGGCTTCTGGCGCTGCATTTCAAGGAGACTTTCTTTGCTGTTGCATCGCTTGAGATGACGAATTGAAACCTGGGTGGCAGAAAAGCGATGTTTGCCAATTCTGCTGAAGATATCTGCCAAGCCAACCAACGCTTGAAGATAGAACAAGGTCACATCATATTTTTCAGCATGTTCGGCTGAGATGGCAAAAATTTTAACAGCTCGAGGGTAATATTCGTCCCGGCTGACACTTAAATAAAACTCAGCAATGTCGTTCATATGTCTGGAATATCGAACGAGATCTTTCTTTCGGTCTTCAGTGGCGTAAATAGTCAATAATTTCAAAAGATTATCACAAAGTTGGACGCCATCTTTGATGTACTGGTCACGACCGTCAATGCTCTTGAGTGATAGCAAGTTTTTGTAGCATCTCAAGATCTGTTGACAACAAACAAGCTTGCTGTACGTGTCATCCTTCGTTTTTTTCAATATCCCCATTTCGAAAAATCTTCGTTCATCGTCGATCAACTGTTGGTAACGATCAATTGCATTCTTCAAGTCCGTAGCATGGGCCTGGGCATCTTTCTTCATATGTGTACCATCTTGTTGGCAATTATAGTCGTCATTAACCAGGAGATATAAAAGAGCAGTCGTTTGCACCTTCAATTCATGAAAGACAGCATGGGGGTTCATTCGCTCGCTGATCTCGCATGAAAGACAATACGCTAACTTCAAAAGATCGATGTAAAAACTTGGATTCTCAATTGTTGCTCTATTTCTGTAGAAATAATTTCTGCCAAAGCTGTAAATCACTGAGAGGTAAAGTTCCGGTAGAAACAATTCACGATAGCGATCAACGCTGTATGCCGCCCCATGGTCAACGAGCACATTAACATCACTTGGCGAAAGCGGATGTGAACATTCGATCTTTTCCTTCACCGTCTGATTCTCCTTAACAACTTCGGGAAACAAAGCAAAATCTTGTTTGTTTACAGTTCGCAAGAATACAAGTTCTTCAATTATGTCTGGCGATAATCCTGAACTCTTCTTAGTCAGTTTATTGAACAACTGACGAGCGACTGCTGAATCTCTCTTGGTAATACCATACATCTCTCTATGTTCTTTATCACTGGAGTCTTCAAGCGAACTTCCCCAGACTTCTAAGACTACATGAAAAAACATCAGCAGCATCTTCTTAAGTGAGGCTAAAAAACCATCAGCAGGTTGTACATCTTCCTCAGTTATTCCACACAACTCATGAAGCAGATTTCTAGCACTTATAAAGTGAACGTCCAGTTTATGTTGTAAAGGAGGCTGTTGCTGAGTGTAGGTGAAGCCAACCAGTTCTGATAACCGAGCTAATGCTATCAAAGTACGATCATCTTTCTGTTTGTCCTCCCACTCTTGCAGAAGTATCTCCGCATGTTCACGGACGGTACGCTGAAGAAAATCGCCTTTTGAAAAACGGTTATCTTTACTGATATACTTCATAAATATTCCCGCCAATTTGTATAGTAGATCTGCTTTTAATGATTCATCGATTATGTCTCTGATCACATTCTGGGTAAAAGAATGGAAAGAAAAGAACCGAATACCATTTTCCTCTGTGATGCGAACCAGTGACTTGAGCTCATCATGTAAATCATTTAAATCTGCTACGTTTGCCAGGTGATTATTTGAAGATAGCAGATTACTGAGAAAAAAATCTGGAATCATTTTATTAGAGATTAAAGAAGTGGCAGCAATAGCAGAAAATTTATCACTGTCAACCTCTTCTAAACATGCACGTACACTTTCGTAAAGTATTCGATCATGATTACTTAACTCAGTTTGGCGAACTTTCTGCGCTGCCACTTTGTCACGCTGCATTTTCAGGTATGTGCGGGCCGATATCTTTTTTTTCAACATGTAATCTTTAGCAGCCGTCAGACCCAGAATATTCCAACCAAAATGATCACAAAGCTCTAAAAGATCTTCTTCATTATTTTCTTTGCGGATTTCTTCAAGAAACTCCAACGCCTCCTCAAATTTCTCTACCTGAAGTTGCTCTGCATCAGGAAGGTCCAAAGAGGGATTATTGGTTGTAATGATGATGTAAACTGAACGTCGGATGTTCCACAGCTCATTAAACCATTTATAACATGGCTTCCTTTCTAAGTTATCTAACAAAAATATGATATCTTCATTTTCAGCTTTTTGTTCAATAGTTTGAAACAACTCGCCATACGATACACCAAGTTTCTCGGCCAGGTCTGTTAACGACGCGATAACGCGATCTTCACCAGTAGGGCCATCTATAACCCAACTAATAGCAAACGTTTGTTTGTTCATAACAATATAATGCGCAGCCGCGGAGGTTTTCCCTGTTCCAATTGTTCCATGCAATATCTTAAATTTACCCTTTTGTAATTTTTGAATTTCATCATCTAATTTACTTCTTGAACAATAGCTATGAACTGGTTCATGACAGTTGCTAACAGGCGCTGTACTTGTAGCACCTAAATGTAAAATAATATGGTTTAAATAATATATGGCCACACAATGGTTACCGGATCAGTGCATGGCCCCTTGATTCAGATATAGAGGATATTACACGGCGGCGCGCGAAGATGACTTTTTATCTTCGAGTGGTGAAAACAATATTTAGCGAGTGAGTAAAATATTGTTTTTAACACGAGAAGATAAAAGTCATATATCTTCACGCCACCGTGTAATGTTCTGTTTATTATATAGTCCCAAGCAAAAAATTGTATAAATACTAAAAGTCACGTGATCGATATTCACTAGTGAAGATATGGAAAATATGTCACTGTGTATTTCTTAAGGGTCGTTTACACTTGCAATTTTTGCTGCGATTTGTAGTGCGATTTTCTTCTTCTGATTGATGTGAACAAGTGGATGGATTATGAATGTTCAGACGAAGATACAAATACTCAGAACATTCATAACTCATCTATACTTAGAACAAGCTTACATAGAACAAACAACAGTGAAGGTAAACGCATTAACATGGAACTCGTCCAGAATTTGGTCTACTCCGAGGACAGTGATATTATTTTTGTGAATGAAACTTGGCTAAAGAAAGACATCTGCGATCTTGAAATTCTGCACTCAGGTTATTCTGTTTTTAGGAATGATCGAAAAACTCGCGGTGGTGGAGTACTGTTAGGCGTAAAAACATCTTCCTTTAAATCTGTGCATGAAATTAAACACAATTATGACCTAGAAATCATCTTGGCTGAAATAACAACAGCTACAAACATGAAAATAATACTGGGTTCCTGCTATCGTCCTCCAAATGAAGATCAGACTTGGATAGAACGTTTCAACAACTTTCTTGGTGATATTTGTTCAAGTCACCAACACATTGTTCTCGCAGGGGATTTTAATCTTCCGCAAATTTCATGGAACTCACCAGAACAAACGACAGGTTTCTCTGAGAATGCTTTTATTGAACTACTTAATGACTATTTTATGGTTCAACTCAACAACACCGCAACTAGAGAAAATAACGTTCTCGATCTCGTTATCACAAACATTCCGGAACTGGTCAAAATTAGCGAAATTTTGTCCCCTGCTGAAGCAGATATCTTTACTGATCACAGTGTAATCAGTTTTGACCTCTTTGTTCACCCCAAACGCTTGCCAAAAA